GCATGAACGTACTCTCCATACCGATGTTCTCTTTGGCCTCGTAAAAGTGAATCTTCTTCGCTTAGTTCTTTCAATGCTCCATCGGCTTATCTTCCTTACTAATGGCATTCATTTCCACAGGATGTGGCCCGATTCCGACCCGATTTGAAACTTCTCATCAGCTCGGCCACTCTGGACGCACAAAAATTTTCTCATTTCTTCGATGATGCGCCCATCTTCCGAATTCCCGGTAGACGGTATCCTGTTGATATATACTATACCAAAGTACGTTGGTAGTTTATTATTCTCGGTGCAAACATGCTCTCATGCCGCTACTAGTCGATTAAATATCGTTAATCTCAAATGTATGTTGCACCCATGTATCGTAAGTAAAATTCTACAGTTTCTGGTTTTTGTTATCATGGCTGATGATGCGTTTACTACTAGACTAGCACAATTTAAGGGAGGCAGATGTCATGGCATCGGTGTCACAACCACAGTTGGCCCTTGTATTGAAATTTGCCTGGCACTATGGAGGGGTTTGTCTTTCGCATTTGCGCAAAGACGAATGGTTACATGGTAACCGATCCCAAAGCCTACTGTTAGTAGGTTTCGAAATGCTTGTACTAAAGTTCATTTTTTATTATTATATTTTTTTCGGGACGAACAAAGCATTTGATGAACTATGCCTTAGGAACCACAAGACGTTTATCCAATACTTAGAAGTGTAAGCTTTTGCTTATTAGGCACCGGAGGCGGACTATATAGAGGCGGCGGTAGTAACAGTATTGCAGATTCACGTGACGCAACCACCAGGAGACATTTTGGTCTTTTTTACGGGGCAAGAGGAAATTGAGACTGCCAACGAAGCGCTACTGGAGCGTACCAAAAAAATGGGCAGCAAGCTGCGTGAGCTCATCATCCTTCCTATTTATTCAGCTCTCCCCTCAGACATGCAGGTTGGTGCGTCCTACCCGATACCACTCCCTTTTCTGATCCTCTTCGGGGCTTTTTTATACCTTTCATGGAATCGTTGAATGATAGTGACGTATGCTTTCGTATGTTTTATCGGTTCAGCTTTTGTTATGAGGGTAGATATGTCTGAACTTAATCGAAGTTGAACCATTTTCATTACTTAAGGGGAATGTACTCTTGGGGTGGATGGGCCGACTTGTTTTGGCAGTATCACCGAAAGGACTAATCCTGTAATTTACATCCCATGCAATCCTTTGTCTTTCTCTGCCTCTGGTTTATTGGTAAGCTTATAGTGCATCTAGGTTCCAAACTTGATCTGGGTTTTTTTACGAAATTAGCATACGTTTATGCTCCGTAACTGGCAAACAATAATTCATTTAGTGTCGAAAGTAGGATCAGCATCAAAGAAGCTGCCAAGCATTATTAACAGCTTGTTCAAGTTAAGATTCTCTAGTTCATCATTTGTTAATTCTATTGCCAATTCATGCCGTTAGTGTATTCAACTTTTTGTATTGCAGTCAAAATTTGCA